GGCTCCCAAGAGACCCCCAAGACGCCTCAAGAGGCTTCCCAGAGGCACCCGAGACGCCCAAGAGGCCCCCAGGACTGCCAAGAAAGCCCAAGACGCCCCAAGAGGACTCCAAGAAACTCTCGGAAAAACTCCGAAGAGACTCCCAGAGGCATCCAAGAGACCTCTGGCCTTTTTGCTCGCCCTCCTCCTCCTCCTCCTCCTCCTCCTCCTCCTCCTCCTTTTCCCCCTCCTCCTCGCCCTCCTCCCCTCCTCGCCCTCCTCGTACTCCTCCTGCTCCTCCCGCGATTCCTCCTCCACCCTCCCCCCAGTGGGGGCACGACGCCTTACCCCCAACCCCTCGCCCTCCGAACACCGCGCACTTCGCGCCGCCGCTCCGGCCAGAAGGGCTGCTCCTGCGCGTCGACGCCTCCCTCTGGGAGCTGGCTTCCGCGTCGTGCGCCGCGGCCGCTCGGGCCGCCGCGGGCCCCCCCCCCCCCGGCGGCGCGCTCTCGGCGAGGCGCCGCCGCTGCAGCGCAGGCCGCCGCCGAGAAGCGACGAGAACGCCAAGAAAGCCGATCGCACCTCGATTCCGAGAAAGCCGTCCCCCCCCCTGAGGCGGCGAGGCAGCCCCCCCCCCCTCTCCGCCCCCTCGAAGGTTGCCCCTGATGGACTCCCAGGGCCGCTGGGGCCCCAAGGCCTGGAGTCGGGAAGCGGTGAGCGCCCGAAGTGGGTGCGGAGAGGTTGGCCACGATGCCCAGACCCAAAGCCCTCGGCCCCGGCCAGGCGAACCTGCCACCGCTCGAACGCCCTTTCCCCGTGCAGTGTTCTGCATCGTGCGCGCTTCTGCCTCGCAGGGTGATCCAAGATGCTCCTGGATGGTCCAGATTTTCACGCGCTGGCCCCGCCGACAAAAAATCCACACGTCCAAGCGATGCCAAGCCGAGGGCCACTCCGGAAAGCCCCCCCCCCCCCCCTGGGGAGACCGAAAGGTATCGATACCGCTACTCCCCGGACCTCTCCCCGGATGCGTTCTGACCAGGATCTCGAGGCGAATCCAGCAGTGGCGACGAGGGCTTCCCAGGAGGCCCCAACATGGGAAAACAGGCGAAGGCTAGATAGAATAAGAAGAAATGCATAGATGTAAACTTTTGGCGCTCCACGCGGATTTCTTGGATCTGCGCTGGACCCTCCTCCCTGGCGCGCGGAGCGCGACAAGGACGGCGCCGGAAGCGCCGCGGGGTGGCCTAGCGCGGATCCAAGAAATCCGCGGGGAGCGCCAAACGTGCATGGTCATGGCGCTTATATTTCTTGTATGAGTTGCATTAGGTTTCTGATGGATTAGTTTAAGTGTCATTCGGAGTCGTATTAACATTATGAATGTGACTGTTATTATTCGTCGTATCATCCTTACTACTTCTATTATATGTCTTGTGATTGGTTTTATTCCGATTATTATCATTCATCTTACTATTGCGATGTCTTCTTGTTATGAGTGCGCATACTATTATTCGTTTTACTATGTTTGTGAATGTTAGTATTGCTATTATTAAAACTAATACGATCACTATTAACCATAGCGACCAGTGTATTCTTCTTACTGTGATCTTATTATTCCGAATTGTATCATTATTCGTGTTCTTAGTATTGCCTGTGTTATCATTAGTTCGTTTTCTTCTGTATATTACTATTATCCGTGTGATTCGTAGGTGTCCTCTTATTTCTTAGTATGAGATTCGTGATGCGTCGTATTAGTATCCGTGTTCTTCTTAGTGGTGTTATGATTACTCTTCTTAGTATCTTATTGTTATGGAGTGTTTCCGTAAGCTTAGTATCATTGTGCTTCTTGTTACGAACATAGATAATACCCATGTTACTAGTTATACTATTATGTGTATGCTTATTGTTGTTTTTCTTCTTCGATGTTCCCCCCCCCCCGCCCGTGGCGTGCCACCGCGCCCCGCCCCGGGCGGCGCGGGCCTGGCGCAGCGCCCAGCGCGGCCCGCCCCGAGCGGCCGCACGGGCGCGCGCTCCGGGCGCCCGCCCCAGGCGCCCGAGAGGGGGGCCACGCTCGGGGAGGGGGGGGGGGCGGCGGGCTCGAGGCTCGAGGCTCGAGCCTGGAATGTGTCCTTCTCCTCCTCCTCCTCCTCCTCCTTCTCCTCCTCCTCCTCCTCCTCCTCCCCCTCCTCCTCCTTCTCCTGCTCCTCCTTCTCCTCCTCCTCACCCTCCTCCCCCTCCTCCCTCTCAAAGCCAGGTCTGGGAATTGGCCAGTGCCCCTTCTTCCTGATCGCAGTCAGTATTTAACTTCTCCCCGTGCCCACTAGCATGGCCTGTGGCATCTCTGATCGCCCTGCTCCCTTGCAAGAAGGAGCGTTTGATGCTGAATCCGGGTTTCTCTCAACCTATCCCCACATGAGGGGGTGGGCTTTGGAATACCATGTGGGACCTGCTCCAGAACAGGAACACACCGTAGACGGATTTGCCCTTTTGCTCCGACCTTGCACTGCGCCGAACGCAACGGCCGCGCTGTTCACAGACGCGTCTGCCCTGAAAGTGTATGTGGACGCGACGGCACCCAATGTGTCCATGGGCGCTGTTGGGCTAGAGCGTGGGAACGGCACTTGGCATCGGCCGCAGATCTCTGTCTGCTGGAAGCAGGTAGGACGTGGCCCTCCAAGCTCCAAGGCGGATGTTGGAAGAACAATTGAAATTATCCAGACGGTGGGACCCCGCACGAGAATCAATTTAGCTTGTCCCTCGCCTGTTTCTTCGTCTGGCGGTGGTTTCCTTCCGCCCCCTCCGTCCGTCATCCTTTCCTCCTTTTCATCCTTCTCCTCCTCCTGCCCCTTCTCGTCCTGCTCGTTGCATTTATCATCCTCTTCTTCATCCGCCTCCTCCTCCTCCTCCTCCGCCTCCTCCACTTCCCCCCTGTCCTCCTCATGCTCCTCCTCTTCCTCCTCTGCATTTGCCCGGCCCCCCTCCACCTCCTCCTCCTTCTCCCCCTCCTCATCGCCGCCCCGCTCGTTCACCTCCTGCGCCGCGCCCATTTCGGCACACCCCTCACACGCTTCGTGGCCCCATGGGGAGCTCCACCGAAAACCCCAATGGCTGCGCCCGCATGACACCACCACGCCCATTTCGGCACACCTCTTACACGCATCGTGGCCCAATGGGGAGCTCCACCGAAGGCCCCTGTGGCTGCGCTCACATGACACCACCGCGCCCATGTTGGCACGCCCCTCACACGTTTCGAGGCCCCATAGGGAGCTCCGCCGACAGCGCCACTGGCCGCGCTCGCATGACACTACCGCACACATTTCGGCACACCACTCACACGCTTCGTGGCTCCAAGCCCCAACTGGCTGCGATCGCATGGCACCACCACACCAACTTCGGCACACGACTCACACGCTTCGCGGCTTCATAGAGAGCTCCACCGCAGGCCCAGCGGCTGCGCTCGCATGACATCACCGCACCAATTTCGGCACACCCATCACACGGCTCGTGGCCCCATGGGGAGCTCCACCGAAAGCCCCGGTCGCTGCGTTCGCATGACAGCACCGCACCCACTTCGGCACACCCCTCACACGTTTCGTGGTCTCATATGGAGCTTTACCAAAGGCCCCAGTGGCTGCGCTCTCATGACACCACTGCCCACATTTCGGCACACCCATCATACGTTTAGTGCCGCATAAGGAGCTTCACCGACGACGATACCAACAAGTGTGTTACTCACAACTGCATATGGTTGGGTCCTTCGCAGGGATAGTTTGTCCTTCACCATCCTGCGGTGTTGGGTCCTCGCGTTGAAGAGACAGCGCCCCGCGTCTCCCTCCTCCTCCTCCTCCTCCTCCTCCTCCTCCTCCTCCTCCTCCTCCCTCCCCCCTCCCCCTCTTTGTCTCCGCCCTCCGCATGTTTCTGCTTCGGCACACCCTTCACGCGTTTCGTGGCCCCATAGGGCGCTCGACCGAAGGCCCCAGTGGCTGCGCTCGCATGAAACCACCACGCTCATCCCGTGGCTCCAAAGGGAGCTCCGCCGAAGACGCCACTGGCCGTGCTCCCATGACATCACCACACCCATTTCAGCCCACACACACACACACCACACGTTTTGTGACCCCATGGGGAGCTGCACCGGGGGCCCCAGTGGCTGCGCTCGCATGACACCACAGCGCCTTTCGGCACACCCATCACACGGTTCGTGCTTCCATGGGAAGCTCCACCGCAGGCCCAGTGGCTGCGCTCGCATCACAGCACCGCACCAATTTCGGCACACCTTTCACACGCTTCGTGGCTCCACAAGGAGCTCCACCGAAGGCCCAGCGGCTGCGCTAACATGACACCACAGCGCCTTTCGGCACACCCATCACACAGTTCGTGCTTCCATGGGAAGCTCCACCGCAGGCCCAGTGGCTGCGCTCGCATCACAGCACCGCACCCATTTCGGTACGCCTATCACACGCTTCGTGGCCCCATGGGGAGCTCCACCCCCAAAGCCCCAACTGGCTGCGATCGCATGCCACCACCACACCGAATTCGGCAAACGACTCACACGCTTCGTGGCTCCATGGGGAGCTCCACCGCAGGCCCAGCGGCTGCGCTCGCATGACATCACCGCACCCATTCCGGTACACCTATCACACGGTTCGTGGCTCCATGGGAGCTCCACCCAAAGCCCCAGTGGCTGCGTTCGCATGACAGCACCACACCCATTTCGGCACACTCCTCACACGTTTCGTGGTCTCATATGGAGCTCTGCCAAAGGCTCCAGTGGCTGCGCTCGCATGACACCACTGCGCCCATGTCGACACACCCATCACACGCTTCGCACACCCCTCACACGTTTCGTGGCCCCATAGGGGAGCTCCACGCAGGCCCCAGTGGCTGCGCGCATGACACCACCGCGCCCATGTTGGCATACTCCTCACACGTTTCGCTCCCCATAAGAAGCTCCACCGAAAACGATGCCAACAATTGCATTACTCACAACTGCATATGGTTGGGTCCTTCGCCAAGGTATCTTTTTCTCTGCTTCCGTGTGAACAAACGGTTGGGCGCGAATGTGCGGAGCCGAATTCACAACGCAGGGCTGCAAGAGCGTGCAATACACAGAGCAGAAAGCCTGAAGTACACGTATTGAAATGAAACTGGAGAACAACAACAGTCTGAACCACTTTAGCGATATAGGGCTATAGGGCTATAGGGCTATAGGGCTATAAGGCTATGGGACTCGGGCTATAAGGCTATAAGGCTATAGAGCTATAGGGCTGCAGGGCTATAGGGCTATAGGGCTATAGGGGTATACGGCTATACAGCTATATGGTTATAGGGCTATTAGGGCTGTAGGGCTATTAGGGCTCCAGGGCCATTGGGCTACAGGACTATGGGGCTATAGGGCCATAGGGCTATGGGACTATGGGGCTATAGGGCCATAGGACTATAGGGCTATAGGACTATAAGGCTATAGGGCTATTGAGCTATAGGGCTATAGGGCTGCAGGGCTATAGGACTATAGGGCTATAGGGCTACAGGGCTATAGGGCTATAGGGCTATAGGGCCATAGGGCTATAGGGCCACAGGGCTACCGGCCACCCGGGCACCCAGGCACCAAGGCACCTGGGCACCAGGGCACCCAGGCGTGCCGCCGAAATCGGCGCCGTACCTCACCTAACCATATGAATCCGCTAGGACCCGTACAGAGGCAAGCTCTGATTGGGGAATCACCGGAAATTTCCTGTCTGCCATGAAACCTTCGTGCCATTGGCAGAGGCGCTTGATTATCAGCTGGAATAGGTGCCGTCTTTAGAGGCCTCCCAGATGGGGTCCGAGCACATGGGATCGGAGGATCTCGCCGCATCGCCGATACATCGGCGAAGCATCGCCGATGCATCGGCGATGCATCGGTGACGCACTGGCGACGTCGGCGGTGCATCGGCGACGTCGGCGTGGAGAAAATTGGGCCCGCATCGCCGATGCATCGGCGATGCGGCGCGATCCTCCGACCCCATCTACTCCGACCCCATCCAGGAGGACTAGAGTCTTTCGTTCTTCACTAATGCGTTGGGAGGCCTGGGCCCGCCCGCTGCGTCGCCTCCCAGCGCACAGGGCGGCGGCCCCCAGAGAGGGCGCCCCGCCCTGCAGGCGCTGCCCTTAGGTCGGGCATGTCCCCCCACAGGCGGATTTTGACAAAAAACAAAAAAAACAAAAAAAAAAAAAAAAAAAGTCACGAATAGCCAAATACGCAAAAATAGCCAAAAATAATCAAACAATCTTCCCCAGACCATTTGTTGCCCATTTTTGAATATTCCTTCTGTAGAGGGACATGCCCGACTTCACGCTGCCCCTCTGCGCGGCCTTGCCTTGGCGGCGCGCAGAAGGGGGTGGAGGGAGGGGGAGGGCTTCTTAGAAGGGGGCTGCTTCTTAGAAGGCGCAGGCCTCACATCATGCCCGCGCCTTCTAAGAAGCAGGGGTGCTTCTAAGAAGCCCTCCCCCCTCCCCAACCCCCCTCTGCGCGTGGCCGACTGCCGTGGATCCGCGGCGGCACCGGCCGCCGCGAGGCGGCGGGGGCAGGCCCAGGAGGCGGCTGGGGAGGAGTGCCCCTACAACCATAGCGTGTCCACAAGAACACGCCGGTCAAAGGCATCGGGCCCTGCACGGTGTCCCCCAGGGCCGTAGGCGACCCGAGGAGGAGAAGGAGGAGGAGGAGGAGGAGGAGGAGGAGGAGGAGGAGGAGGAGATGGAGGGGGAGGAGGAGGAGGAGGAGGAGGAGGAGGAGGAGAGGAGGAGGAGGAGGAGGAGGAAGGAGAGGAGGGAGAGGAGTGGGGGGGAGGGGGAGGATGAGAAGGAGGAGGGGAGGGGGGGAGGAAGGGGAGGAGGAGGAGAAGAAGGCGAGGAGGAGGAGCAGCAGGAGGAGCAGGAGGGGAAGAGGGGAGAACGGGAGAGAAGGGGAGGAGGAGTAGGAGGAAGGAGGAGTCGAGGAGGAGGATAGGAGGAAGGAGTGAGAGGAGAAGGAGAAGGAGGAGGAGGAGGAGATGGAGGAGGAGGAGGAGGTGGAGGAGGAGGAGGAGGAGGAGGAGGAGGGGTCGCCTAAGCCCTTCGGAGAAACCCTCCATGGAGCCCCTCTGGCCATGAAGCAAGCGGGCCCTGAGGTTCTTGGCCGTCAGCCATCCGCCGTGCAGAACTGGCTGAGGCTCAGATCCTCAAAGGCCTTGCCGCGCATCGCTCGGGCCATTCGAAAATGAAGGCGGCCGCGGCGAGGCACGGCACGAAGGTCAGCCCGCGGCGCCGTGCCCCAGCATGCCGCGCTGCCAGTTCCTGGAGACCCACCTCCCAGTCCTCGCGATCTGGTTGGCGACGGCCGCGGGAATCTTCGGGCTGTCGGGGGCCTCCTCCTGCTGCTCCTCGTCGGCGTGGATGTCCATCTGGCAGAAGCGCAGGGCCCGCAGGGCCATCCTCTGCAGGACCTCCTTGTGCATGGTGAGGTCCGAGACGTCCTCGCCCGCGAGAGTGAGCTCGTGCGCGAAGAGGATGGCGCAGCACCTCATGCAAGCCATCATGCCGCCGCCCTCCTTGCGGACGATCTGCCGCATGACCTCGCAGTTGAGCTTCAGGAGCTCCGCGCAGGAGGAGGCCACCAGCGAGCCCCGGTGGGCCCAGCTCAGCCACATGGACCCCTCGGCCAGCCAGGCGTCCGGGCGCACGGGCCGCACAGAACCGAAGTCGCGGACGGCGTGCTCGCGGTGCAGGTTGTCCCTGCTGGTGTCCATCAGGCCCTCGGCACCCTGCCCCTTGTGGTACATGAGCAGGCCCATCACGACAACGAAGGCGTACCGCGTGTCCACGCCGTCCAGGAACACCTCCTGCCGCGCCATGTACCGATGGTCGGACATCGCCTCGTGAGAGATGCGCAGGAACAGCCGCTTGTCCGAGTGAAAGATGCGGCCGAGCATGCAGTGCGCCTTGAGGTATGGCATGAAATACTCTCGGTGCATGCGGATGCGAACCGACTCGGGCAGCTGCTTCAGCATAGGCAGGTCCTCTTCGATCAACGTTCGAGTCTTCCTGTTGTAGTCCATATCGAAAAGCGTTAGCATCAAGGTCCCCAGACTGGAATGAATGCGCTTGCTCTTGATGAACTGCACGAGCCGGAAGCGTTCCCGCGTCCGCGCGGTGTTGAGCGTCTTCAGCTCATTCACCGTGGAGGTGATGCTGCTGAGGAAGACCGAGAATGCGAGCATGCCCCACAGGACAACCACGATGGCGAACACGCGCTCAATCGTGCTGACGGGCACGATGTTGTTGGTGGCGGGGGTGAACTGCGTGATGCTCCAGTGGAACGCCATCGTGTAGCTAAGCAGCCGATCGTCTTTGACACCAACCTGGTCCAGCCAGCTGTCCCTCGGTCCTGGCCCAAGGTCGGAGCTGCCGGCGGCTTCTGCGCCCAGCCCGTACCATATGCAGGCGATGTAGTGGCACATCACCACGATGAGCAACATCAGCTGCCCGATCTTGATGACCAAATCGAAGAACTTCGACGTGTTCCCGCGCATGAAGGACTCAAACACCAGAAGCCACTTGTGGAGGCGGACCAGGCGCACGAGCCGGAGCAACCGCAGCAGCACGACCGTCCGGGCGCTCGAGTGAAGGCCCTTCAGCAAGAAGGTGAACGCGGCGTCGAGGATGAGCACGCCGATGTCGAGGGGCATCCAAGTCCGGGCATAGCGCGACACGGTCTTGTGAATCTGCATCTCCACGCCGTGGTCCGTGGCATACCCGCAGATGGCGTGGAAGAGCACGTCGAGGGTCCAGTACACGAAGCTCAGTATGACCAATGCCTGAAGGTGCCCCGTGATCAGGTCGACGGCCTCGAGCGGGATGGTCACGCTGTCGTACAGGAGCAGGAGCGCGCCGAAAAAGGTCCAGACGAACCGCGTGTTGCTGTCTGGGTGCACCACGAGCCTCCTGAGAAGGCGGGCCCTGGCCTCCAGGCCGGCGGGATGGTCGGTGGCGTACTCGTCATCGGCGTCCGCCTTGTCGACCAGGGACATTGCGAAGCTGCTGCTGCGCCCCCTGTCCAGCGTCTGCAGCGAGGGGACGCTGGAGAGCCACTCAGGGTGAGCCACCCACGCCTCCTCCGCTGCCTCGTCGCCGAAACTGCTCTCCCGCGTGAGCACCTTGACCGTCAGGTCGGCTATGCTCGTCTCCCCGTTGTTCGAAGCCTGGGTCAGCTTGACGACCAGCCTCGCCCATCTCGCCTGCCAGTTCGGCAGCGGGCCGTCGTCGCCGAAGTTCAGCGGGCTGGCCATCTCCAGGTTGGAGCCCAGCGAATGCCGCCGCTGCACGCAGCTGTTGTCCACGTGGTGGACGGCTGGCGCGTCGGTCGCCTGGTCCGCCCGGGCCTCGGGCCACAAGTCCTCGTCGTCGTCGCTCAGGGGCTGCTCGTACTCCGCGGCCCTGCCGAGCGCGGATCCGTTGAGGGCCTCCTGGGGCGAGGCCGGCGCCGCCAGGCTGCTCTCGAAGCTCGCCAGCAGCCGGCCCCGCAGCTCGGCCAGCTCCTCCACCAGGCGGGCCTCGAAGCTCCCCACGCGGGCGTCCCGCGCGGAGCCGCCGGCGCGCCCGGCCGGCGCGGGCCCACCGGCCCCGTCGCGCAGCGAGGCGCCGCGGAGGGCCGCGAGCATCTCGCCCCCCCGCGCCCTGCGAGGCGGCGCGCCCCAGACGTGCGGCGTGCGGACTTTTGCGGACGGCGCCCCCGGAAGCCCAGCCCCTTCCCCGGGGCTAGTGTTTCATCCTGAGTCATTTCTGAGGCGGAGGAGGAGGAGGAGGAGGAGGGAGGAGGATGGAGGAGGATGGAAGAGGAGGAGGAGGACGAGGAGGAGGAGGAGGAGGAAGGAGGAGGATGGATGAGGAGGAGGAAGAGGAGGAGGAGGAGGAGGAAGAGGAGGAAGAGGAGGAGGAGGAGGAGGGTCCCCCGAGGCCGCGAGTGGCCCAAGAAATCCCGTCCTGATTTCCGCTACGGCGCGAGCACGTCTGGGCCCCCTCCGCGGGCGGGGCCCCCAGCCGCGGCGGCGGTCGCCGTGCCGCGGGACGGCCCCCGCGCACCGAGCGAGCGTGCGGCGGGGGGGAGGGGCCCGCGCCCCGGCGGCGCGCTGGGTGGCCCCTCCCCCCTTCAAGGGGCTTGAGCCACGCTCCT